GGGGGGGCCGCCAGCGCGGGGTGCGCACACGGGAGGGGCCTCCTGGGGTCTCAGCCGCCGTCGGGGGCACGGTTCTGTCTGAGCGGCGGGCCCCTCTTCTACACCACCCACCCTGTTCGGAAGACGTCCTGGGGATGGCTGGCCTCGGGCGGGTGGAAAAGCACTAAGGAGAAGCTGCAGGAACAGAACTGGCACGGAGCCGACGGGCCTGCCTCAGTGCATCCTGGTGTCGATGCCACTCTGGGTGCTCTTCATGTTCTGTTTCCAGGAGAAGAGAGGGGCGAGGAAGGGGAATTAGCATTTCCTGTCGACTAGGCTTCTCAAGACCAAAGCCATGCATGTGAGACTGCCCACTTCACCCAGACAGAAAAACACAACCCTGGGTGGGCGTCCTCACCAACTGGGCAGAAGAAAGCCCGGGGAGGCTCCGGGAATGTGGCGGGGGTTAGGCCCAGAGCTGCCCGGGGGAAGGGCCTGGCAAGGCCGGGGGAGGCCAGGCATCTGCCTCTAAATGGGGAAGGAGGGTGGGGTGGCCCTGGCGGGTCAGAGCTCTGGGGAGCACTGAGCGCCAGCACCTAAGGAAGCCTCCAGGGCCTGGCCCTTTCGCGCCTCGAGATCGCCCCCGCCCGCACCCAGGGCCCTCCTGCTGCCCGCGGCCGGGCAGGGGACGAGCCGGGACTCTCCTCCCAACAGGGTTCAGGTAGACCGTATGCTCCAGCCCCCAGAACCCACATTCTAGGAACATGGGCTCAGCAGCTAGAACACAGGTGCCCTGGGCTGAGTGGACGTCACAGGGGAGGACCCAGGCAGAGAAGGCAGGTGTCACTCACTAAAGCTCTCTTCCTGTTCCAACAAAAGCAATCTTGGCCACAAGTCCCACCCCTGAGAAGCTGCCAGAATCAAAAATGCCTTAAAAATGTTCTTCGGGGTGGTGGCTGACTCTTGATTTTGGCTTAGGTCACAATCTCATGGGTCCTGAGTTTGAGCCCCACGTCGGGCTCTGTGCCTGGGATTCTCTCTCTCCCTCTCTCCCTGCCCCTCCCCTGCTCACACTCTCTCTCTCTCAACGTTAAAAAAAATAGTTTTTCAATCGGCTGGGAACAGATGACAGCTGCCACTGCACAGCAGCAGGCTCTCTGCCTGACTTGAATCCGCCGCAAAGAAAGGAAACACCACTTTTGTAAGTGTTCTTTCCCTCCCTGTGTCCACCGAGACAGTCTTAAAGGGACAGGGTGAGGGGAGCGTGGATGCTGGGCACGTACATATGCAGGATCATGGCAGCCCATTCCCCTCCAGGCAGAACCAAGGGCCCACCGTGGAGAAATCTCTAGGGACTCGCAGAACCCGCACTCAGACCTGAGCCCGCTCTCAGCCCGACTCCGCCCAGGCCACCCGACCCTCCAGTCACGAGCACATCAGACAGTGTCTGTGAGTGGGGGGTCTCCCAGGAGGACCCTGTGGCCTCGCACCCAGTCTCCCCCGATATGGGGTCAGAGCCCGGGATGCTGCCAGGTCCCGCTGCACCTGCCGGCTTCAACCCACCCTCAGACATCTCGCGCCCAAGGCTCCGAGCGCCCACGGATGATAGATGCAACAATGACACTGGGGACCACGTCACGTCACTCACTCATGGTGCCCTGGCTCAGGCCACACGGAGGGGAAGGAGGGAACGAGAGAGAGAGAGAGAGGACCTCGAGACAATGGTGCTGCTCTTGAAAGACACAAGTCGTCTGGCACGGGTGTATGAGTCACATACTGCACGATGGCCCGTCGTCACACAGACCAAGATGCCCTGACAGGCTGAGATGCCATGACTCGGGGAGATGCAGAGGGGACAGAGAGGGGCATGCACCGAGCCATTTACCTTTCCAAGGTTAGTAGGGAGAAAACTTTGAGAAAATGTGACAAACAGTTCGTCTTTCAAGCATAGTGGGGGGAAGGGAAGAAAACATGTTGGAAAAGAAAAACAAAACAAAACATCTTTAGTACTATCTTCTTTTCAGTGTGCATTTGAAACTTAAAAATCAAGGATGGCCGGATGGTCTGGTGGCCGGGAGCACTAGTGTGGCCCCCCAGGGCGCTGCATCCATCCGGGCTGTCGTCACCGACCGTGACAGTTTCACCATGAAGCCACGATCGCTGGTGTCCTCAGGCCACGACCCGTAAGCCCCCAGGGGTGCCCCACGCTCCCCAGGCTCCCGGTGCTCCTGCTACTCAGGAGAAGAAATCCTACTGGCCTGTGTGGAAGGGACG